GAGCGGGCCGCTGCAGGCAGCGCTGGAGCAGAGGCAGCAGGAGGCTGAAAGGAGGGACGCCATGTATGAGGAGGAGCTTGCAGGGCAGCGGGACCTGATCCATGCCATGAAGAGGCGGGTGCTGGAACTGATTCAGTAAGTGGGGGACAGTAGGCAGGAGTACAGATGGGAAATGGTATGGGATATAGAGGCTGGGAAATGAAAATTCTGCTCCACTAACAACTACCAAGCAGGATTCTGGGCCTTTTGTATATACTAATTCATTTCCTTTTTTTTAAGCAACGAACTGCTATTATTACTATTTTACAAACTGAGGGTCAGAGACTTGGCCACCAAGGACACACAGCATATAAACTGCATAGAGTCCTCTGACTCTAAGGCATGCCCTCCACCCCAAACCAGCCCACATATACACATACCTACTAAAGTTAGGAGAAGGAAAGGAACCCATGGGCTGAGAAGGAATTGGGAGAAGGGGCAGGTTAACCAAGAGGTAATCGCATGTCCTACATCAGCCTGCCCATTGGACTTCCTCAGATCACTGGGCCTGTCCAGGTCAGCTGTCCTAGGTTCCAAAGGCTGAGCTCACCAGAATCAATTCCAAGCTGCTAAGCTCACTGAGGGATGGAGATGTGTAAAGCCTGGTCTCTGTTCTTCGGTCTGGTGGGGAGATAATTCACAGGTGTGTCATCCTTTACCCAGTTCAGACCACTACGCTCAGGTTCCACTAGAATTGGAACTCTGCAAGATCATCTAAGACTAAATCCTCTTGCACAAAATCCAAGTGATAATAAAGGTGAGAAAAGGAGAGATGAACCTGAAAGGAACAAACAAAAAATGTAAGGAGTGATCTCCTCCAAGGAACTGTCAACTGGGTGGAAGGGGTATATAAAAATTTAGCTATATATCTCACAAAAGAATTTAAGTTCTCTAACAATAAAAGGTACATATAGAGCAAGACATATGATTATTAAAGGAAAATAGAAGATTTCATGGTAGAAGAAAAATATATACTCCCAAAGTGTTCAGAGTAGGATTAAAACTTAGCTCTGAGCATCTTGACAGCAGAATAAAAAAGGGAAACACAGAAAATTGCCTAAAATTCACTGGGGGCTGGCTAGTGGGAGGGACCGTGGGCCGTTGGCCAGTCAGCCCCACCCCCTAGTTAAACTCCTGGTCAAACTCCCAGTCGAAGGGACAATTTGCATATTAGTCTTTTATTATATAGGACAATGTCCCTTGCATAAGCATTTTGGGAGATATGGCCCTAAGTAAAAAGTGGGGGGAGGGAAGAGGAGCCAAGGAGGTTGACTTGTGCCTCAAGATGCTAGACCTACCACACATCATCTATTCTCCATCCTCAGATCTCACTAAAATGATTGTAAAAGAATAAAACTACCAACAGAGAGAAAGGTGGAGGAGCCAACCAGAGATGGGAGATTCCAGCTAATTTCCAGAAGCCAAAAAATGGATGGAGAAACCCAGTTAGAACTTCAGGGCCCAGAGACAGCAGGAACACATACGGCAGAAGTGAGATGAGGTGCAGAAATCAGGGAAATTAATTGAAGAAGTGGATGGAAAGACCAATGTACACCTCCTGCTTTCTGCCTGCCTCCCCAACTGCACAACACCCAACAGTTGAGGGGCTTAACTGCCAAGCAAATAATTCAACGGTCCTTATCTGGAGAAAGGTAGATGCCCCAAATAAAAGAGCAGTGTGTTCTGGCTTTTGAGAGACCCATGTGGCAGGTACCTCCCAGCCCAGTGCCTCCTAAAGGGAAGCCCGAGTCAACCACCCCAACCCATTACTTGGAGCTCCAGCAGCTTTACTGCCTCTTCTTAAATGTGAAATGGCAACCAAGCTTTTGTAAGCATTTGAGTCAGTCTAGAACATGAAGGGAGAGACAGAGATAAACAAAGACAGTTCCATCTCCCATGAAACAAGAGGCTGTGAAAAGCGACCACCCAAAGATGAGAAACATTCTTGGAAATTAAAATATCACTGAAATTTTTCTCAATTAACTAGGATTGGAAGAGAAAGATGAGTCAATCTCTCAGAAAGTAGAATAAAAAGCATAGAGAGATGGGACATATGAGAGAAATATTTAGAGACATAAAGAATCAATCCAGGAGTTCCAATATCTTCTCCAACTGAAAGGAATTCCAGAGAGAGAGAGAGAGAGAGAGAGAACTATCAGATAAAAATATTAGAGACTTTCCCAGTTCTAATGGACATAGATCTTAAAGATTTCATTGAGTGATCAGCACAATGAATGAAAAATGTGGTGGGCACATCTAGATATATCATTGTGAAATTTCAGTAAAACAAAGATAGGAAGACTATCCTAAAAGACATGCCACTTATGAAAGAAATAGAACACAACAAATTTTAAGAATCAATGGTGTAATACTTTTAAGTTCTGAAAAAAGCTGAATTTTGCCCTAGAATTCTATGTCCACCTAAACTATGGAGCAAGTGGGGAAGGTGATAGAGGAAAAGACATTCTCAGACAGTCAGATCACAGAAAAGTCACCTCCCACACAGCCTTTCTTAAGAAGATAATTCAGGATGTGTCCCAGAAAAACAAGGAAGCAAGCCAAGAAAAGAGAAGATGTGGAATTCAGGAAACAGTAGCTCTAGGCCAGGAGAGAACAAAAGGGAATTCCCAACATGACTAGCGGGCAGCAAGGCCGGGAAGCAGTCAGTCCAGGCTGTAGCAGAATTATTGCAGGCCCAGGAGGAAGGTCTCAGGGGAGAAAGAGAATCAGCAAAATACCTGATATGAAGAATTGGGGTGGGCAAGAATAAGTAGGCTAGTCTGGCCAGTGTGGCTCAGTGGTTGAGCATCGACCTATGAAGCCAGGAGAGCATGGTTCAATTCCCGATCAGGGCACATGACCAGGCTGCGGGCTAGATCCCCAGTGTGCGTCATGCAGGAGGCAGACAGTCAATGATTCTCTATCATTGATGTTTCTATATCTCTCTCCCTATCCTTTGCTCTCTGAAATCAATAAAAATATATTTAAAATAATAATAATAATTAGGCTATGATAAGGCAAGTTATGCAAGGAACAAAGAAAGGCAATTAGACACAGTGCAATATACAGATGATGTCTCATAGAATTGTTCACTAGAAGCTTATATAATTGTATTAACCAATATCACCTTAATAAATGTAATTTTGAAAAATAAAATAAAACTCTGTAAAAGAAAGGCAATTAGAAAGTCCTAGAAAAACAACAAATTCCCAAGAAGGGAAATATTATAGAACAAAACTCTGCTTGAAGCAATATGCTTACATATTGTCTAATAATATAAATACTAGTCACTGATTTTTTCACCTAAATGCAAAGCCCAAAAAATGATTATAATTATACAACAAATATAAATGTTAGCACCTAAACAATATTATAGAACAGAATTCAATAGAACTTTCTATGAAGATGGAAGTGTTTTATATCTGTCCTGCCCAATATGTTAGCTACTAATCGCATATAGTGATTGAGTACTTCAAATGTGACTGGTGTGACTGAGGAACTAAAGTTTTCATTTTATTCTAGTTTAATTAACTTACATATAAATTTACAAAACCACAGGTGGCTAATGGCTATCCTATTGGACATTGCAGGAATAGATGACAAGTTAGGAGGTGGGAGGAAAAAGGGATGCTGGCGTCATTGTATTACAGAATGGCAATCCTAAGATGCTACCTATAGTTAATAAAATGAGTGAGAAATAAATGTGTGAGACTATTCAGTAGAAGTCCAGTAGTAACCAATAGAGGAACCAAAAATAGGGATATAACTACATGGGGAGGAAGGATGAGGATTTAATGGAAATGATCGTAAGCTGTCCTCTGACATCAAGGTAAGGAGCTCTATAGAAGATGTTCTCTCTTGAAAGAGCAAGAAAGAGGGATATGAGCATGTTAATTAAATATGAAAGTACTATCAGGAGAAAGAGCTAAAAGATGTAAGTGGTTTGCCAGAATGGGAAAGTGTCTATTGTCTGTGCTGTTCAATTTTTACATCATGGGCATGTATCATTCTGATAAAAATTTAAAACAACCCTCTTTCTTTCTTTCTTTTGATTTTTATTGGTTTCAGAGAGGAAGGGAGAGGGAGAGATAAAAACATAAATGATGAGAGAGAATCATTAATCGGCTGCCTCCTACACACACAAACACACACACCAACCCCGGGGATCAAGTTGCAACTCGGGCATGCGCCCTGACTTTTAAACAAACCGTGATCTCCTGGTTTATAGGTTAACACTCAACCACCGAGCTACACCAACCAGGCAAAACCACCCATCTTCTTAACACATCCTTTAAAAAAAACAAACAACAATGAAGATAGGTTTTGTGTTTTTTGGTTGTTGTTTTTTTTGGGGGGGGGTGGGGTGCATAAACATCTATAACTCCAAAGCAGTTTGTACCAAGTGCCAAATAAAAGATCATCGGCATTATATGCTATAGGAGTCTGGAACAAGAAAGCCCGGGCCCTCTACTATCAGGGAGCACTCCTCCGAGAAGGCAGGCTGTGAACAGGTTCTTCAATAGTGGGTTAAGATTATGATGGGCCACGGGGACCTGTCACCATCCATCCAGTTTTCGAAAGACTGGAGTCTCACTCTTAGGTGTGTGAGTCTCTCACTGTTTTCATCTCTCTCTTCTCTTCTCTTCTCTTCTCTTCTCTTCTCTTCTCTTCTCTTCTCTCTCTCTCTCTCTCTCTCTCCCCCCTCCCCGCCATCACTGTTTCTTTCTCTCCATCTTTCTCTATATTTGTCTCTCCCTCTTTGTCTGTGTCTCGGTCCCTGTCTGTCTCTGCATCTTTCTTCCTGTCTTTCTCCCACTGCATTTGTCTCTCTACTTCTCCATGTGTCTCTGTCTCCCTCTCTGACACCCTGACTCCCTTTCTCTCTGAGCGACTGTCTCCCTCTGTCCCTCTTTGTCTCCCTCCCCATTTCTGTGTCTGTCTTTTCGCCCCGCTGTTTCTCCATCTCTTTTTGTCTATGTCTCTCGATCTATGCCATTTCCAACTCTCTATCATCTTCTCTCCTCTCTCTCTCTCTTTCTCTCCTCCCCCCCCCCCTCTCCCCCCCCCCCCCCCATCTACCCATCAGAGAGAAGGACAACCTGTGGCAGAAGGTGCAGCAACTCTCTTCCGTGGCCCCTGGATGCTGTGTCAGCTGTAGCAAGCTCTTTGGCCGGCTGTCTCGGCGGTATCCATGCAGGTAATGGGTGGGACAGCCCAGTTTCCACCAGCCCACAGTCCCCTGCCCACTCTGGGGAAAGGAGGGACACAGGAACTGGGCGTCTATGAAAGGCTACTTAAAGCTGGCCACTCATATTACCCAGAACTTAGCAGAGACATGAACGAGAACAGAGAAAGATCAAACAGGAAGGGCATCTGGAGATGGAATGGTGCAACCTTTCTGAGAATAGACTGATTAACGGGCTTCTCACCTGGGAAGAGATTTCATGTACAGTGGAAGCTGCTCCCCCGGCCTCCCTCTGGGAACACAGTGGCAGGACAAGCAGCAGGAGAGAGGGAAGTGGGCCATCGAGAGAACCTGCCATTTGGAATTAGAGGACCCTTGAGGAGTGGACCATTGGGTCACCCTTTGGGAAAGGGGAGGCCTCCTGGGACAGAGCCAGGGCAGTTCTGCTAGGAAATGAGAGACAGACAGTTGGACTTAAAGATACTCAAACCCCATGACCCCCTTCCCTATACACACCCATGTGCTCCCCATTCTTTCCACCTTTGCTCTCAGGCTGTGTGGAGGCCTGGTTTGCCATGCCTGCTCTCTGGATTATAAGAAGCAAGAGCGCCGCTGCCCACCCTGCGCCAAGAAAGGAGAAGCCGAGGTTGTCTAACCAAGACCCACCCAGGACTGGCCATCCATTCCACCTGCCCCTCAGCACTTTCAGGACTTATGATCTGACCAATACTACCTTCCAGAACTTGGTGTTTTAGGCAGACGGCACTTGAGGAGCCAGACGGCACTTGAGGAGCCAGACTGTGGTGTGGAGAGTGGAAAGGGCCAGGCTGGCAGTCAGGAGATGGCTCAAGCCCTGCATCTCCCACTGATTAGCAGGGCGACTCAGCTCTGCAAGCTCTTCTGTAACGTGAGGAAGTCGGGTGTCATCCACTCTAAAGTCCCTTTGGCTTCAGATAATCCTTGACTAAGAATAAAACCCAATGGCCTTGACTTTCTCCTCCACACTCCCTGCTCACCCAGACTGCCCTTCACCACATTGCACTGTCTCCGGTCCTTAGGAGCTTCCTGTCTGGAGTCTGCTTCGGGCTCTGTTTTTGTCCCACTTTGTTTTTAACATCTTTCCTGAGGCACTACTAACATACAACACAATTCACATAAATTGTACAATTTGATGAGTTTTTACTTTAATTTATACCCATGAAGTCACCACCATATTCAAAATAATGAATACATCCATTAGTGCCAAAGTTTTCTCCTGCCCTTTGGAATCTCTCCATCCCCCTCCCTTTGCCCCACCCCTAGATAACCACTTACCTGCCTTCACTAAAGACAAGTTTGCATTTCCTAGAATTTTATATAAATGGAATCATATGGTCTGCCTTCTTTAGCTCAGCATAATTATTTTGAGATTCATACACATTGTTGTTCATACCCACAGTTCCTTTATTTACTGTTGAGTAGTATTCCACCACCTGGATATAGCACCATCTGTTCACACATGTTGCCAGACATTTGGGTTGTTTCTAATTTGAAGTTATTACAGATCAGTTTCCTATAATCATCGAATCTTTGTGTAGACATATGCCTGTATTTCTCATGGGTTAATACCTAAGAATGAAATGGTCAGGTCATATGGCAGGTATATGTTTAAGAAACTGCTGAGTTATTTCCCATAAAGATTATATGTTGTACCATCCCACCAGCAGGGTGTGGGCGTCCCAGCTGCTCTCCAGAGCATTTGGTTTGGGGGGCAGGAGAAGAGACACAGACATGGAACTTGGGCCTCTCTGTTCTTCCCTTCCAACCACTGTGGTGAAGTAAACAGTCCCAAGTTGTGAGGCTAGGGAGGGGCTAAGTCTAGGTGACTCTGTGCAGTGCTCACTCACTAGATTTTAATAAAGACAGTTAAGGATTTGTGTAGCTCTGTGGTACAAGTTATATCCTCTGACTGTCCAAGAAGTCTTACACAATTCGTTTCATTTACTGGGCACCCATTTATGGTGTTTCCGAAAACACTGTTTCTGAAGAAGCACGGACCCCACTCTGTAACAGGGCAGACTCTCTTGCCCTGAGCAGGCATGCAGGCTGTCCCCTGCCTCACAGGACTGCCACAGCCTCTGCAGCAGTTGGGCAACTCTGTGGCTCTGACCAGAGCCTATGGACCGCCTCTTGGGGTCAGGGCCACCTAGAGTTGCATCCCATTACCATCTTGTGGAGCAACAGTTTCGCAACAGCAGTTCCTGCCCTGGAGAGCTGATGAGAACTTCTCCTTAGCAGAGTCAGCAACAAGGTAGGCGGGGGAGGGTCAGGGAATGGAGGGAGGGAAGGGTTGAGGTGGGCAGAGCTGGGACTCCCAGCGCAATTAGGTCAAAAGAATCAGCATGCCTTCCTAGAGGTCACACTTGCTCAGATACTTCTATTAGAGCATGGAGTTCAGACCCGCCTGGTGAACTAATGGGATAGAGAAGGCCTAGCAGAAAAGCCTAAATTCAAAGCAGAAGCAAGATGCTCCTGGATGAGAACTCAACAGGAGGAAATCAGGGGCCAAGAATGGGAGAAAAGTCCCCCTGGTTGGGAGTGATGGAGGGCAATGCTGGGAACCAGCCTCTAGCTTAACACTACTCCCCAGAGGGTCCCCTGTGCTCACAGGCTGGGGGTGCCCCAGGTGACAATTATTTCTTTAACTAGAGGTGCGGTGCAAGAAATTTGTGCACTCGGGGAGAGGGGCATCCCTCAGCCTGACCTGTGCCCTCTCGCATTCTGGGAGCCCTCAGAATGTCCAATTGATGGCTTAGGCCCACTCCCTGTGAGCCTGGCTTTTGGTTGAGCAGCACTCCCCCTGTGGGAGCACGCTGACCACCAGGGGGCAGCTCCTGCATTGAGTGTCTTCCCCCTGGTGGTCAGTGCGTGTCATAGCGACCAGTCATTCTGCCATTTGGTCGATTTGCATATTAGCCTTTTATTATATAGGATTGGATGTCACTCAGAAATTCCAACATACATCAGTTTCCCCACTTTGTCAATCCATTCAGTGCTCAAGAAGATTGTATTTTATACCTAGGATATGCCAAACACTGATTGGTTTGGGGATACAGAGATTTTATATATATATATACACACACACACAGACACTCTCTCTCTCTCTCTCTCTCTCTCTCTCTCTCTCTAGGGGCCCACTGCACGAATTCGTGCACCTTGAAAGAAACTGTGGGCCGCAAGGCTGCAGTGGGCATAGGGGCAGGTCTTGGCCCATTTTCTGCACCCCCGTCCGGCCCCTCCCATTGCAGCCCCCAGTCCCCTGTCTGCCGGCAGCCCTGCTCCCGCTGCCACCGCTTCCACATGCTGACGGTGCCAGCTCCACTTGCACCCACTGACAGCACAGAGCGATTAGGGCCAGCGCCAGCAGCCAGTGCAGGCAGGGCCAGTGCTGTCAGCAGGCGCAAGCGGCAGCTGCTGCCCCGATCACCCCTCAGGAGCAGGGGGAGGTGGAGAAGCCCTGAGAGGTGACTGGGGCTGGCAGCCGCTGCTCACACCCACTGATGGTGCCAAGCGATCGTGGCCAGTGCCAGGCGCCAGCAGCAGATGCAAGCATTGGGTGGTAGCATGGTGCGTGGTAGCAAAGAATTTTCAGTAACCACCAGAGGCTTGCCCCAATGACAGCAACCAGCACCCTGCCATGGTCTGGCGCCCCTGCTCACCTGCTCCACCATCCCGCTGTGGCCAACACCCACCATGTTCCACACGCACCCCCTGGTGGTCAGCACACATCATAGTGACCAGTTGTTCGGTTGTTCAGTTGTTCCACCATTCAGTCTATTTGCATATTAGCCTTTTATTATATAGGATTATACCTGCTTTCACAAACCTCACAGTGGGGAGTCGGAAGCAGCCAAAGAGATGATTACAAAGCCTTGATATGATAGAGGAAACTCAGGTGTGCTGTCGATGGAGGTGACCACTGGGCTGGATTTGAAAGGAAAGGGGGAGTTGGCCAGACCTAGAGGGTGGGAAGAGCATGCCAGGGGAAGAAAATGCATTCCAGTCCCTGAGGAGGAACCAAAATAGTTCCTAGGGGAAGTACAAGTAGTTCCCTGTGGCTGAAATTAAGGGTTCATGGAGGTGTGGCCTGAAATGAGACTGGAGAAGCACCCAGGGATCAGATGCAGGAGCACCAGGTACACAAGACAGGATTTTTACGCTGAGGGTAATGGGGGGGTCCTTAATTTAGAGAGATCATTCTGGTAGCAGAGTGGAGGATGAATTGAGGGGGAAGACTTGAGGCAGAGAGCACTTAGGAGAATAGTGGTAGTAACAGTAGCAACAGCCAACACTACCAAGCACCATTTTAAGTGCTTCACACATGTAGACTCATTGAATCCACAGGACAGTAGGTGCCCTCATTATCCCCCTAGTACAGTTGATGAAACTGAGAACTCATGAGATTAAATATTTGCCCAAGGTCTACAACCAGTAAGTGACATGGCTGGTATCCTAACTCAAACAGCCCGGCTGTGGAATCCACAGTTATTGCCTGACTATTTTTTAATATATTTTTATTGATTTCAGAGAGAGGAAGAGAAAGGGAGAGAGAGATAGAAACATCAGTGATGAGAGAATTATTGATCGGCTGCCTCCTGCACATCCCACACTGGGGATCAAGCCCACAACCCAGGCATATATGTGCCCTGACCAGGAGTCGAACCATGACCTCCTGGTTCATCGGTCAACACTCAACTGCTGAGCCATGCAACCTGGACTATCACCTGACTATTGCAGTAGCTTCAGGGAGAATGAAGTGTTGCCTAACCCTGCCAGAGAAGATGGTGAGGAGAAGATAACTAAGAGATGTTAAGGAGAGAAAGAGGGAGGAGAGTGTGAGACGTGGGGACAGGCATGGATGAGAGGGAGCTCTGGAGGAGAAGCACGTGTGAGTTTGCATCTGTGGAACCTTAGGGGAGATTTTATGAAGTAAGTGCATGTAAGAGTTTGAGCTGAGGAGAGAGCTTCGAAGAGAGGTTGGGAATTATAGGTATGAGAGACACTGATGAATTGGGTGGTCGCCAAAGCCAAGGGAGGAGGTGGGCTGACCTAGGGAGAGCAGGTAGAGAAGAGGAACATCTGATTTCAGGAATGAATTGAGAATAAAGTAACAAATGAAACTAAGAGAGGTTCAGAGGAAAGAAGAGAATGGGGTCAGTGGAATTAAGTGATGCAGAGATCAAATAAGATAGCACTTGAACAGTAACCATTTCACCAAATAAATAAAACAGAACATACCTTCATGTGAGAATTAAAAAAAAAATAGTTTAAAGAATTTACACATCCCTAGATATGAGCCAGCAAAATTATACTTAAGCTACAGAAATATTCCCAAAGATGCTCATAGGAAGAAGCTAAGTATCCAGCTATAAGATAATCATTATATAAATCATGATGCATACATACCATGAACCACTATGTCGTCATTAAAAAGAATGAGATGGATCTCTATGTAATGATGAGGAATAGGTCCATGATACATTCTTTTTTCTTTAATATATTTTTATTGATTTCAGAGAGGAAGGGAGAGGGAGAGAAAGATAGAAACATAAATGATGAAAGAGAATCATTGATCTGCTGCCTCCTGCACGCCCCACACTGGGAATCGAGCCCACAACCTGGGCATGTGCCCAGACTGGGAATCAGGAATCGAACCAAGACCTCCTGGTTCAGAGGTCAACGCTCAACCACTGAGTCATGCCGGCCAGGCCATGATACATTCTTAAGCTGCAGAAAATATAAATAGTTAAATACGTTATATTTTGATTAAGGAAGGAAAGAAAGAAAACATGTTTGTACCTGCATGGGCAAATCTGGGGAAAGGCAAATATGAGTGAACAGAGGGATGGAAGGGAATCTTTCAAGTTTTACTTTATAGGCTTTTGTATCATTTATATTCTTGACAATATGCATGCTTCATTTTTATACCATTAAAGCAGTCTTATTTAAGAAAGGGGCTGTTGGGTTCAGTAACCCAGAGGTCATTGGTAACCCTGGCAAAGCTGTTTCAGCAGAGCGGTGGGAAGGAAGCTAGTTTTAGTGGGTTGAGCAGTGAACAAGAAGCGGCCAAGTGGACACAGCTGCTTTGTCAAGAAGTTTACTTGTGAAAAGGAGGGCATAGGGGAGCAGTACCTAAAGGGAGCCTAGTACAGAGGAAAGGAGAGAAAGACATAAAGAAGGTGGTTGAAGGGAAAAGCGCCGGGAGGCAGGATCCTCCAGGATGTGAGAGGCAGTGGGTCCCACAGCCAGGTGCAGGAATTCACCAGAAAGAGAGGAGAGACACTGCTCATGCTGACCCTAGAAGAAAGGAACAAAGTGTCTGGCAAGTTCAGGCAAGTCTGTCAGCTGGAGTCTGGGATTGCCTGCCCCTTCCTTTTATAGAAGGAGGTGAAGATTTAAAAGGCACAGAGTCAAAGCTGGACTAGGGCAAACCTACACCTTCAGACTGGCAGTCCCCTCCAGAAGCCATTAGGCAGCAAGGTGTGAACATCCCCAGCGCTCACATCCCCAGAATCTCCTGGTGGAGCCTTGGCCTGGAGCCAGAGTCCTAGGACAGACCTATTGGTCCTCTGTGGGAACACCTCCCCTGGTGGGCCTCTCAGATTTCCCCCTTGGCAGCCTTGCCTCAGAAGTGTCCCCATAAATTCTGATTCACTTTTTTCCTGCCCAACAGCCCTGACCGCTACCGAGCCCTGAGTCACAGCGGAAGTACAGAAATCACTTCAGTAACAACAGCAGCCATAGCAGCAACAGCAGGTAAGTGGGCTGTTCAGTCTTAGAACTGCTGGGGACATATTTCTGATGGAAGGGACTTGGAAACTTCAGTCTGGGTCCCCTGAGAACTGAGGTGATGAATTGCAGACCCTTAGAGCTAAAGGTAACTGTCTTTGCCAGACAGCACAGTACAAAAGAACTTTCTGCTTATAGAGAAAAACAGAAATATTCTCCATCTGCACTATCCAGTATGATAGCTACTGGTCACATGTGGCTCCTGAGCACTTAAATGTGGCTCATGTGACTGAGGAACTAATTTTTTTTTAATTAATTTAAATTTAAGTAACCACCTGTGGCTAGTAGCCATCATTTTGGGCCATGCAGATCTAGAACAATATCCTCATTTTCCAATGAACCACATCAAGGCTCAGAGACAAATGACTTGTCCAAGCTCACGCTGACCATTCACAGCAGAACCAGGATTGGAAGCTGGCTCTTTATTCACCCCACCATCAACATGCATGCAGTGGCTCAGTGGAAATGAAATCAACCAAATGAAAATCAAGAAGTGGGCAGGTTGGGAAATGTCAAATCTGGACTCTTTTTTCTATGCCTTTCATACTCAGTTGTCTGGGACAGGGAGGTACCTAATGGAGTTCAGAAACCTCAGGCTGAGATATAGCCCCTTGTGATAGTGGATAGAATATACAATTTGGGGTCAGGTTAAAAAAAAAAGTCTTTAACACTGCTTAACACCCAGTTCATCTGTGTCATTCTAGGTGAGTTGCCTAAGTCCTAGAGTCTTAGTTTCCTCATTCAGGAAGCGCATGTTGTCATGAGGATTAAATGATACAGATTCTGAAAAGCACTTTTTTCAGAAACTAGACCCTCAGAGGCACTAAACAGTATAGCTAGTGTGACGACTGTTATCCGGGTGAGATGTGCCTTGAAGTCAGCCTGGACAGTGGACTAGCTGCTTTCCCTTGCTTGGGGACGTAGCGGGAGAAACAACATGCTGTTACTTGACAAACTGTTTCAGTAATAATGATCACAATAAATGCAAATACCATGTTTTATATCTGTCTTAAGTGCTTTTCCAGTAATCTCTCATTCCAGCCTCAGCCTCATTTTACAGAGGAGTAAACTGGGACTCAGAAAGGAAAGGTCACATGCAGGAGTTGCTCAGCTAGCAGAGTTCTTAACCACGACTCCCACCCTCTTCTCTCTCTTCTGTGTGTAACAAGCTTCTGCCTGATGTTAGGTAGCATCACCTGACCAGGAGTCATTGCATTCTTCTCTGACATGGGAAAGAAAGATGTGACAAAGCATGTTTGCTAAACAGTGGGACTCAAAAGTTCTTTCCTTGGGGTAGGCAGCTTGGGTGAGTTGGCCACAGGCTCTGAGCATGCACTGGGCGAGAGACTGGCGTAAGGAGTGGTGGAGGGATTGAGGTTGCTAGGTGTGAGTTTAGGAAGGAGTGGTGAATTTATGTTCACTACTCTGCCTGTATTTATCCTTTCAATTGCAATCAATAGCAACTGTGACAAAATATATTCTTAGTGTCACTCAACACTGTTTTCAAAAATGTGTTAGGACTTGGATGGAATTTTAACTTTTACCAAAAAGCTTCCTTTTCCAAATTAGATGGTCTTGGCTCCAAAGCTGATAGCTGCTGCAGACCCAATCCCAAGTATAAAAGCCAAGAACGAAGAGCAATGACCTAAGAGGGGCTCATGGTCAAAGCAGATGTTTGGGGAGCGACGTGAAAGACAAGGAGAGGTGTTTGGGGCTAGAGGTTCTCAAAGGGATGTGGCATAGAGAAGGAATCCGTGAGGCTTTAAAGATTCCTGGGGTAAATGGGATGGAGACAGGGGGCATTAGGTCCAAGGAGAAAAGCTACCTGACTCTCCAAAAACTTGTTCCATCTCCTTTGTCTTAATGAGCTGTTCTTTCAGGTATGAAAGATGTTTAAGAAAGGTAGTGCTGCTAGATAGTAAGCCCAGGGAAGCCCGAGGCAGCTAGAGTGTGGAGAGAGTCAGACAGAACAGAGGCTGCTGAGATCAGGGCACAGATGAGAGAAATCTGCCCTGCCCGGTTTGGTCAGTGGATAAAGCATCAGCCTGCCTGTGGACTGAAGGGTCCCAGGTTCAATTCTGGTCAAGGGAACATACCTCAGTTGCAAGCTCCACCCCTGGCCCTGGTCAGAGCGCATGCAGGAGGTAACCAATGGATATGTCTTTCTCACATTGATGTTTCTCTCTCTGCCTCTTTGTCTCTCCCCCTTCCTTCCACTATCTCTAAAAATCAATGGGAAAATATCCTTGGGTGAGGAGTAACAAAAAGAAGGGTGGGGGGGAAAGATGAGAGAAATCTGTGCAGTCCTGGGCAAACCACTTCCTTTGTGTGGATCTGCCTCTTTATCTGTGAAAAGGAAAGATTGTCTAGGAAATGCCACAGGTCCTTTCCCAGTATGAACCCTACCAGTCCATAAAATGTCTAGTGATCAAAGATCTGACCTGGGATTTAAATATTCACATCATCAAGAGTATCCTTCACCCTCCAGGACTCCACCCCACAATTGAGCAATCTCATCCACCACTCACTTCCTCCACTGGGTTCTTACTACCACCACCCTTGCAGTCAGGCACATCTGCTCTTCGGAGGTGTCCTACAGGTGAAAAGCCCAGAATCCTGGTAAGTCTTGGGACACTCACCCCTCCCGCCATTCAGAATGTCTCCGCTCTCTGTCTCCCTGGACACCAGCTTCCCATTTATTCCAGGCATCTTTCTCTACTCGTGGTGGGTCTCACCCACACCCCTAGGTCTCTTTATTCTCTCTCTTTAAGCTACCCTGTCTTCAAAAAGAGGGCTTCTGCCCCTCTCCCCTACACCTCTCTCCAACAACCACTTAGGGCAACTCAATTCCCACCCCCTTCCCTTCCCAAGTCAGCCAGCTCTCTCTCTTTGCTTTGGCCAAAAGTGGTGTGAGAAAGGACCAGACACTGTAGAGTCCCTCCTCCCATATATTAAATGCAAATATATGTGAATGATATTTATAGAGATAAAAAATACTGGAATTGTATTAAAATGACAGACTTTTGTTGCTGTTGTTAAAAAGATTGCTATAAATGTGTGGAATCTTACAAAGTCCTCATTCTATAGCATTCTCATGAAATAAACTAGAATCATCCCATCCATGTTTTTTCTGAACTACCATGAGTCATTAAGGAGCTGGCAATTTTGCTGAAAGAGAATCTCCTGCTGGGTCACCAAGAATATGACTGCAAGATCAGGAGGGGCCAGCCAGTGCCAGGGAGCTTGGTTTATCATTCCTAAAACGACTGTTTCTTTCATTCTGGGCTTAAGGAATAGCAAAGAAAGCAATGTACAGACATCAAACAATGGGAGTGTACTATACACAGGTTGGCTAATGGTATCTCAAGAATTTAACTTACAAATATATTTAATATGTGACCTATGACTTTGTTGTTGTTGTTGTTGTTGTTGTCAAATGATCCTGTGTAGTTCTTAACTTGCTGGGTATTCTATCAGACATACTACAGTTGATGTCATCTATTCTGTATAAGGGTAATGGCCATTGACATGGCAGCCCACAGACTGGGCAGTCCCCAGATCTCTTTAATGGTTCCAGAGAGTTCTCTAGCTAAAGATTGGTGCCATATCTGTCAGGCAATATTGACAATCTCATCCAAAGTGATATTTCCACTGGGTTGATGTTTTTCTGTTTCTGTCTCTTGGAGGTTCCTAGAGGGCTTTGCTGGTCAGGGCAGAGGCAGAGCTACCACTTCAAGCTGGGTCTGTCTGTTCTGAATGGTCAGTTACAATGTTATCCTCAAGCCCTTCCAATCACCTGTTGCCTTGGCAATGTCATCACCAATCTTTTTGGGAGACACATCCAAGGGGCTGACCTTGGGGTGGAGGGCAGATATGGCACCCACTCTCAGATACAGAACTTTGATCTCATTGAGGTAGAACTTAGGGGACATGGTGGAGGGGGGCTGAATTTGGGATGAATGAAGAAAGTTGCATTTGGCCTCCTCTGATCCTAAAGCTCAGAGGTGTGATTTTTTTTTTTTTTTTAAGAAGCAGTCTGCAGACTGAAAATGTGGAGGGGGCCATTTGCACCTAGTTGGAATTTTGGCTGCAGAACTTCTAGGCTCTGGGACCACAGACTGGTCTCTGAGCCTCACTGTGTCTGTCTTCTTATGGTTAAATAGGGGCTTAATCATATCTATTTGTAACAATCCAGGGAGATCATGTACATGTCAGACACAAAGTAGATCTCAAGTGTCATCTTCCTATCTTCCTTTCTTTAGTTTCTCCCTTTAACCACCAAAACATCACCTCTAGGGATTGGTTACAAAACACAAACAAACAACAAAACATTCTCTCCACCCCCCTCCACTCATCCCCACCCCCACACCTGGCCAGTGGCTGGAGGTCATGGCCCTGGCAGGGTGGCCTGGTTCTCCTTTCTGAAATCTCTACTTCTGTCCTGACTTGCATGGGAGTGGAGCTCACCCATATACCTGCAGCCTGGCCTCAGCACAGCCGAGCACCAGATTCTCCAGAATGAGGGCTCATCTTACAACAGGACAACCAAGGAGTCCTGGCTGCCTGCCACTACTTCATCCAATTAAGCAGAGACAGAGTTGAATCATATATGAGTGTTTATTCCAATAATGCCGGCAGAATGGGAGAGCAGCAGGTCATCCAAAAAAATCTGCTCTGCACTCCATCATAAATTAGCTGCTTATATTGGGTAAGGGGACAGAGATTACGTGGGGAAGTAGGAATTACAGGCATGGAAAGTAGGCACAGAACAATCATTACAGGTTACAAGTCATGCAGGCTGGGGCCGGGATTGCAGGAGGGTGGGTGCCTCCAGACATCCCAGGACTAGGTTACAGGTAATAGGGGTGGGGGTTGTAAAGAACAGGCACCTCCTGGCTTAGAGTATTTCGGCCTGGAGGCTGTAAATTTTTCCATAATGATAGGCAGTTCTTGGGAAAGGAGGATGGACTGTATTCCGATGTTAGCTCCCATGTCTTAAGGTGTATAACTCTCAGCGAGGTTAGAATGTGCGTTTTCTGATGTTTTGCTGCCTATGGATTCTTCTAAGATTTTTATGGTTCTCACGTTTAAGTCCTGGTAAAGGGCATTCTTGATTAAAGTGAAAGCTATCCCTCACGTATGTATCACTAAGTACACAAAAGTGGCGTTTACTGAGCTTTCCCAAACTTGCTTCTCTTCCAGTGTTTCTCACCCAGTAAATGACATCTCCGTGGGGAGTGCCAAGTTCTGCTAATTTTATCTACAGCACATATATTATTACTAGAGCCCCGGTGCACAAAATTCATACACCAGGGGGGGTTCCCTCAGCCTGGCCTGCACCCAATGAAGCATGTTTGCCTGCTACTGCCTCTTCTCCTAGGGAAGTTTCTGCAGCTGCCCCAGACCTGCCTTCTCACAACTGGTGTGCATAGATGTAGGGTTCTTCTCTCTGCAGGCACAAGCTCTCTGCACCCACCAATGACCAGTCTCTCTCAAAAGTGGGTCTTCTCCTAGGTCATTTGTTCCCTTAAGCACATCTCTGATCATCTGCTCACAGAGGTGAGTCACCCTTGATCTCATAAGTAAACTGGACTTAACCCTGGGGCTCTGAGCAAACTTGCTTTTGTTCAAGGGACTACAGAGCCAGTAATTTCTCTCAAGTCTTGCTGGCAACACTGGCCAAACCAGCTCTTATTATCTGCCTCTTCCCCCTACCACCCCACTCACTTCATCCTTATCATCACATCTTTCTACATTCATGGGCTGGTTGAATCTGCTCTATCTGTGGTCTCCATGTGCTGAGAAGGCAATTTACCTGGCCCCCATCAGTTAGGGGAGAAAGTAATACCTTCTCAGAAAGGTGAAAACTAAGAATTCCATCACTCTAGGAGAAAGGGGCATTATTTTTCCAATTTCTCTTAACATTACTAAGCTTTCTTCTTTGCTACAAATGACTGACAATAACAGGCTTTCTTCTGCTAAAGCAAAAAACTTCCTAGTTTTGTTGTTGATGATGTTGATGATGTTGATTTGTATTTGCTTTGTAAGGCTATACGTCTTTGGTTAATCTTTTTAAAATTGAGATATAATTAACATACCATTAAAGTCACACATTTAGAGTGTACAACACCGTAATTTTGTTTTATGTCTTTCTCTTTAACATTGCATTCCATTTGGAGCTGGGTTAGAGACTTGCATATGGTCACAGGATGCTCATAGCTTATAATAAAAAAAATGACACAATGGTGATGTAGTTTGTGGTTCAAAAGAAAGTCAATTTAGTAGGTGGTTTACTTTAGTTCATTTCCTCTTTGAAAACCGGGATAATATTTTAGAGAGGCTGAAGCTTCCCCCAGAAGCAAGCTCTCCACTGATCCTGTAACAAGGGCAGAATCAACAGATGGGTTTATTTGAGTGTGCTGGGGAGTTAGGAATGGATGAAGGTATGCACTGGCAGGACAAGAAGGGTCCCCACCAGGACGGGGAAGCCACCAAAACAAGGATAGTATGTCTCTACCTGCCTTCTCTGCCTCTTGCCGCCCCTTCTCCTTATTCTGGGAGCATCCTGGCTTTCTCTGGCCCCCTGCATGGCAGAATAGGACTGTCTAGAGCTCCCACAATAATCTGTTACATTCCCACCTACTTGGAGAATCAGTCAGTCAACCACCTGCTTATGACTTTTAATATGTTTTTACAAACTATACAAATATGCTCAGAGAAGACCTCCTGCCTCCCAAAAGAACAATGCTGGAACATGCTAAATGAGTAAACTTGCTTCTAGCTCAAGGATCCCGAAACATTATGCTGCTACCACTCAGTTTTTCTAGAACACTCCTTTTAAAATAACTTACAGAAAGTTGGACAAAGGGATTATTCTCAAAGTTTACAGTTAAACTCAGTTGGATTGCCTGCTTAATCCCCCACATTGAGAACTGAATGGCGCCTCATGTTTCTGACATTAAACTCAGTCTCCACAATCAGGGATGCTCACCACTGAAGCTATCCAAGAAAATAGGCTTGGTAGATATTATCAAAAGAAAAGTTTCCACAGTGATTTGAGTGATGGCAAGGTCATGAAAAGTGACCACTCCACTTAAGAACCTCTCTCTGACTTTGAAGGGAACTATACTCTTTTCATGAAACGTACCGCTTATAACTACATGTGCCTCAGAATGTTAGAGTTAATGCCCCTACTATTTCCTGAAGTGAAATTTACTTCCATGTAATATACAAGTCAATGCAAAAAATCCTATCCAAGCTTCATGAGCAGAAAGGCTAGAATCTGTTAAGACTTTATTATGCATTAACACTCATCTCTCTTCTCTAGGCTACAAATATGGCATACATGATTATAAAAGAACTTCCGGATAATTACAGCTGGGAGGATTTCGAAAATTACAGTTACTCTGACGTATCCATTTCGCCAAACTCTGTCCCATGTCAGCCAGAATCTCTGGATATCAACAAGTATGCTCTGGTGACCATCTATGCCCTAGTCTTCTTGCTAAGCCTTCTGGGAAACTCCCTGGTGATGCTGGTTGTCTTATACAGCCGTGTCAACCGTTCAGTCACTGACGTCTACACTATTGCCGACCTGCTCTTCGCCCTGACCTTGCCTATCTGGGCTGCCGCCAAGGCAACAGGCTGGATCTTTGGCACACCCCTGTGCAAGATGGTCTCACTCCTGAAGGAAGTCAACTTCTACAGTGGAATTCTACTACTGGCCTGCATTAGCGTGGACCGCTACCTGGCCATTGTTCATGCCACACGCACTCTGACTCTGAAGAGGCACTGGGTCAAGTTCATATGCTTAGGCATCTGGGCTCTATCTCTGATCCTGTCCCTGCCCGTCTTCGTCTTCCGCAGGACCGTCTACCCGCCTAATACTGGCCCAGTCTGCTACGAGGATCTGGGTGCCAATACAACTAAATGGCGCACAGTAATGCGGGCCCTGCCCCAGACCATTGGCTTCCTCCTGCCGCTGCTGGTCATGGTGTTCTGCTATGGGCTCACCCTGCGCACACTGTTTCAGGCCCACATGGGGCAGAAGCACCGGGCCATGCGGGTCATCTTTGCTGTCGTGCTCGTCTTCCTGCTCTGCTGGCTGCCCTACAACCTGGTTCTGTTGTCAGACACCCTTCTGAGAATCGGGGCGATCAAGGATAGCTGTGGTCGCCGAAACGACATTGGTCGGGCCCTGGATGCCACCGAGATTCTGGGCTTCCTTCACAGCTGCCTCAATCCCCTCATCTACGCCTTCATTGGTCAGAAGTTTCGCCATGGACTCCTCAAGATCATGGCCGTCCATGGCCTGATCAGCAAGGAGTTCTTGGCCAAGGAGAGCAGGCCTTCCTTTGTTGGCTCTTCTTCAGGGAACACTTCTACTACCCTCTAAGACCCCTGCTGCTGTTGTAGCCCCACTGGGCTCCTCCCCTCCCATCAGTACCCAAGCCTCATGACTATAGTCCACTGGCTATTCACAGTCTCTGTGTCAAGACAGCCTCACACTGTGGTCACAGAAAGTTGCTGAGGCTCTGACTTTACCAGGTGCCCTGATCTGGTTCAGAAAGCCTCCCCTGGCTCCCCACCCCTTACTGTAATTCCTATGTCAACTGCTAGAGCTCTGTCCATCCTACCACTGAGCCCATAGC